CTTCCCAGGAATGAGGGAGTTTGGGGGGAGGGAATAGTACGCAGAGAGATACAGATGGGGACCAGGGAGGGAGTCGGCCCGGAGCGCGGGATGCTCCTTAGAGGGCTGTCCAACTCGACAGCCGGCCCAACGCACTTTGGGGGCGTTACTTTTTTTTTTTTTTTTTTTTTTTTTTTTTTTTTTTTTTTTGCGGATAGCCAACTCCGCGTCATTTGCCCCTTCCTCAGCCTCTATCTCAGCAAGGGAGCCAGCTCGAGGCCTGGGTTCTAGCTAGCCCGAGGCCTGGGTTCTAGCTCCCCAGCCAATGTGTCCAGCCGGTATTGGGGGCGGACAGTGTGTGGGGGAGATAAGACTGCAAGTGGAGCCTCTCCAGGGCCTGCGCTCCAGCATTCGCTACTCATAAGTGAGGTGGTGGGCCGACCTTGCAGACTTCCAAGAGAAGAGGGGTCAGCGCTTGCTATAGCGGGGTCTCGCTTGTCTGCGGGTCTCTACCTCGAGTTTCTCCCCCAACTTGGCCCGGGCAGAAGGGGTGGGAGAGCCAGCTGCAGGTGAGATGGTTTATCTGATTCTCTAATGCCACAAAAATGTCTTTGATGCCCCTGACCCCCTCCCCACGCGGGGGAGATCAAAGGCCTCGTGGGGAGGAGGGACAGCTCCATTCATCAAGCCAAGCGGCTGGCAGCGGGGCGGCAGCCTCTGCTCCTGTGGCCTGGGGCAGAGGCCCCCCGACGTGGCCCAGGAGTGCCGAGGGACAGGTGGTGCGGACATTCCGAAGCTGGAGCCAATTTCTCTGCTACTACTATCTAGAGGGCCCATCAACCTTAAACAGGGGACCTTAAGCCCACGTGGCAGAAATTTCACACCAATGGGGAAAGTTCCTCGTTGTTTGGGGTGGGGAGGAATTTGGAAGTGGAAACTGAGAACATTGCCAAGATAGACAAACACCCCTGGTGAGCAAAGAGGAGGGAAGGTCCTGCGTAGTCCAAAGACTGGGGCAAATGGGTGAAGAGAGACTTAGGGCTAGAAAGGAGGCATGAGAAGATCGGGAGGGGGAGCAGATCTGGGGAAGGAAGGTGAATGGCAGAGAGATGAGAGAAGGGGAGAAAAAGGAAAGAGACCTTAGCCTAGACACAAAAAAGAGGGCCTTGAATTTTCGGGGAACCCCAGGGCAGGGGCCCTGGTGTCAAAGGTGCACCAGTGTAGTCCTTGTCCTGAGTACTGGGATTTGTAGAGTGCGGGGCACTCTGGGGAAGGAAAGAAGTGGGGGGGGGGGAGGACGCAGCGCTCGCTCAGGCTCAGCCGGATAATGGACCAACTGCGGTTCCTCCCTTTCTAGTGCACACGCTGCTCCAGCAGTTTTGTACACCATGGTCTGTATTAAGCAGTACTAAGCCTGAACATAACACATTCAAAGATATACCAGCTGGGTGAATACTGAAACTAGTTGGTGCCAAGTTGGCATCTAGGAGGTTTTGGGGGTCCCTGGAGGCTGCAGGTGGCCAATGACTGGCTCCCTGGGGGCCAGTGCCTCCCTTCCAAGCCCCTTTTCCCCACCCGCTACTGTTATTGCAGATTATGAAATGCTCTCCCTGTCCTGCATTCTTCTCCCAGGCAAGAATTTTAATGTATTTGTCTTTGTCATCAGGGGACCTGGGCTCTGGGATCGCCCTGAGGAGGAAAAGCCCCAAATCTAGTCTTTGCTGATTCCAGACCCCAGGTTCCTCAGTTATCCCCCCCCACCCCGTGCCCTAGGCCTGCCCCTTGCCTCCCCCTCCTAAGACACTGTCTCTCTGTGGGGTGGATAAAAATGATGTTATTGAAACAACAGAATTGGGAGCAGTGGCAGGGAGCAGGGATCAGCTCAGGAAACTGGGGCGTTTGCCAAGAAGCCTGCTCCCCCGCAGGCGGCCTTTCTGCCCCCACCCCCCACCTTTCCTCCAAACACACACAGTTGGCCCCACCCCTCCTGCAATATGCTCCAGCCAGATCTTGCAGAATCTTTAGCCATCCCTGGACTCTCCAAGCCTGCGTCCATCCTCCCTTGACCCACCCAGCCCCACTCCAGAATCAGCTGGGCAAGTATAGCTTGCAGAATCATCAGAACAGAGAAGACTGTGACAAGACAGACCTTCTGGAACCCCTATTCCATAGCTTTGGTCCCAGGGTGTTTGTATTTGTCAGCCCGGAACTAGGGCTCTGGGGACCACCCTGCCTTACTTTGCCCCCTCCCCTTGTCCATTGGCTGGAATCTGGATAGAGTCAGATCCATGACTTTTGTCTTTGTGCCCCCTCAAACCTTCAGAGACCTGAGATTGCAGGGTTTGGAGGGTTCAAGTCACCACTCTTAGCTTAGTAGATTTTTCCAACGAGGAGTGATGGGGACCGAGAAACACAAACAGCTAAAGATGAGTGTGCACATATGCACACTCACACATCAGATGGACACAGGCAGATAGATGGACAATCCCACAAAAACCACACCTTTACCTCTCCTTCCACATTACTAGGTAATTTTCATTGGCAGGTGCAGATAGAGAGAGTTGATGGGCTGAGTGGGGCTGAGATTCATGCCAGCCTCCCTGATAATTACACCTATGTACACACACACATAATCACATACACACATACACAGACATACTGCCTCTGCATATATGCCTGTATAGAAAAACATTGCATGATACCACAACAGTAGTGGTGTAGCAATGGGCAGCTTGAGTTTGGAAATGACAGTCTGGGCGTCAGGAGCCTCCAGCTCTTCGTTCATCACTTCACCTTAGCGCTGTGAACCTGTAAATTCCACTTCTAGGCTCTGGTGCAAAAACCCTGAAGGGGTTGGGTGTCTGGCTGTGGGGTTGAGGAGGAAGGAGGGGCAGAGGTGGGGACTGTGGAAAGAGAGAGAGGCAGCTGGAGACAGATAACATCGGAACCGCTGCAGGCAAAAGCAGAGCCCTCTGGTCTCCTTTGGATTCTGTCTCCTCTGTCTCCACTGCTTTTTTGTGTCTTCATGTCTCCTCATGGACAGAATTTGGTCTCTAAATCATTCTGTTATGTTTCCCCCCTTTCTTTCCTCAGGATGACTGAAGCTGCAGGAGCCCAGGAATTTAGGCCTGTTAACCTTCCCTTCCCAATAACCCCCATTCTTTCCTCTTTCCCTCTTTCTCTACATCTCTAGCAGTGGGCTCTAATTCTCCTTTTCAGGAAGGTCCCTGGAAATTCCTACAAGCCCTGGGTCTCTGGAACCCAGAAGAACAGAGAGAGGAAAGGACAGCCCTTACAGAGATGGAAGGAAAGAAAGAAGAAAGAGAAGGGAGAGGATCATTTCCTCTTCTCTGGGTATCCTAAACAGCTCCGTTCAACTTCCATAGCCTGTGTAATATATCCCAAGAGTGTGTCCAAATTTGCCTTATACCTGCCTCACAGACCCAGCTCCTAAGGAGATTTCATCTGAGCCATTATCTCTGCCTTAGAGCCCACCTGCCTCACCTCTTCCTATCTCTATCCCTTCTCTCAAGTCCCATCCAATCAAAGAGAGAGAGAGAGAGAGAGAGAGAGAGAGAGAGAGAGAGAGAGAGAACTCTGTCTGGAAGAATCTTGAAATAAGGGACAGGGGCTGAACACCCAGGGGCTGCTTCCCACCAAGGCTGCATTGGGAGGACACCAGGGAACAGGGAACACTGGCTTCCACTTAGTTCAACCCCAGCAGACCAACAGGAGGAGTTAGTCCCGCCAACCTCTCTGAAGTTGCCTTGTCCCAGGCTGTCTCCTGCACGGTTTTTCCCTTGTTTTGTCTTTGTTTTTATGACAGTGGATCTGATTCTCGAACTCAGGGCCTCAACCATTCCAGGAAAGCGTATTATCTCTGAGTTTCATCCCACAGTTCAACTCCTGTGGTTTTGACTGGGGGTGGGGGGTGGCAGCCTAGTCAGAGCTCCAGAGTCCAGGTCCTCAGAGGCAGCTTCTGTCCTGGTTGTATTGCTGGCTGCTGGTTCTCTCACCCTGGCAGCAGGAAGCACCTATTATGTGCTGGACAACCAACTAGATAGTGGAGAGTCAGTGGTTCTGATTAATTACATGGATTAGTCTAATGGCTCTGTATCTGAAAGGAATGGGAAGGGAAGGGAAGGGAAGGGAAAAAGGAAGGGAAGGGAAGGGAAGGGAGGGAAAGGAAAGGAAAGGAAAGGAAAGGAAAGGAAAGGAAAGGAAAGGAAAGGAAAGGAAAGGAAAGGAAAGGAAAGGAAAGGAAAGGAAAGGAAAGGAAAGGAAAGGAAAGGAAAGGAAAGGAAAGGAAAGGAAAGGAAAGGAAAGGAAAGGAAAGGAAAGGAAAGGAAAGGAAAGGAAAGGAAAGGAAAGGAAAGGAAAGGACAGCCTTGACAGCACCTGGTAGGACGGAAGGACCCAGGAAGGTTCTTGGGGTCACCGAGCCACTCAGAGAATGGAGTGGTTTCTCTAAAGAGGAACACGCTAACTAAGATCTAAGAAGATAATCAGGGGACACAGGAGGGAAAGGCATTTTAAGCAGAGGGAACAGCCATTGTAAA